TTTTCCTCCCCAGTGAGGAAGGAGGATTCTTACCGCTGGTTATGCGTACTTTCGACTTTTCATAGTTCTTTTACTCGGTTCCAGCTGGTTCCATCGATTTTTGGAGATTGGTGCCGAATCTGGTCGACGATAATCGAGAAAATGATTCAGAAGTTCCTTCAGGATTGTCAACGCGAAATTATTACTAAATACTTTTATTAGTTAGTATCGATGGGAATACACCCTTTGTCACACAAATTTAGAGCAAAGCTTCTCTATCACGATCGTGGCTTCTTTCTTATAGATTCGCTACAGTTGCAACCCAGGAGTCGCTTCTGTGGATCGCCGATCGATGTATCATGTCATGTTATATTCATCCCTTCTTCGTCTTCATACATCTATTGGGATATTTGTAACTATGATTTTTAAGTATCCCCATAAACAAATTTATTAAAAGTACGTTAATTCATCTCATCGAGTGTTAGAAGCGAGTTCTCGAAGCCTCGACACCCCGTATATTCAGCTGATGAAATTTGGAGTGAATTTCCTTGGCACAATCGTCATCGTGGCGATCAATGGCGAACACTGGCGATCACTGGCGATCTAAGCGTTTAATCCCTGATCATCGGAAATTAATAACACGTTATCGGTGAACGATACTCGAGTAAATACCGCGTCGCGATTTTTGCGCTTCGATATTCGACCGATACCCGCGCGGAATCCGCAAAAATACGCTTCGCGCGATAGAAGCAGGATGAACGAAGGCCCAATTATTTCCGGTGAAAGAAATTCATAATTTCGCGGTATTTAATCGGTGGTACGAAGGACACGAGTACGTCGTGTCGGTGATTTGTGGAAGGAACAGCAAATGCCGAGGTACGTGGAATATTTTCGGGGCCATGTCGCTCAAGGTTATCCGAACCGACGGTTGTCGCTTATCGGCAATGTCGGCCGCAAGCACGGATTTAGCGGAATCTCGATTTTTCTCCCTCGAATATATCGAAGGCGAGCACAAGAGGCCTGGTGAGCTTTCGAGAGCGCGGCGAGGCAACGAGCAAAAAGGGCGGACAGGGGACTGGAGGGGGGTAATTAGAATAATTCGGGCCGCTGTGGTTCACGCCACACGGACGAATTTGCATTTTAAATGAAGCAATGGCGTGTCAGAGGCCCCCGGTGCGCCGGCCAAGCAGAGCGGCAGAACTTTGTGTTTTATAAGGAACTTTAATATTTATCGCGTATATCCAAACCGAATAAACGCGTGTACGTGTGTGCCGGTGTACTTGGACGGGTACACGTACACAAGGATACGCGTGTCGCTCGTTTATACACGTGTACGTGTACACGGATTTTTCACTCCAAATTCGTCATTTTATAAAACCTATTCACATTTCTGCAAGTTATCGTACCTCATAAGTTTCGCATAAAGATATTCTACCGACGATTTTTCAGGTATTCCTTGGAATATTGCTATTAAAAACCGAGATATTTTCACGATTTTTACTTTATTTTAAAGCGAAACGAACGTGTTACAGTTTTACACGGAAGAGAGGAAGAAATTATTTTTAGTAAAAGTTGATAACGAATGGCAGAAGATAAAATTATAGTGAAGATGGAGGGCAGATATATCGACTCTAAAGTACTAAAAAGGTTAAATTCGCCATTTTACGAATCAAGTTCTCCTACAAATTTGACTCTCTATACTATCTAAATGCTATTATAATTTACCGTTCCGAAATTTCAAATCATATATAGTGAATCATATAACGTGACCACCTTGACTATCTTCAATTACATAGTGACAAAAGTCACGATAAAAAATTATTTTCTAGCGAATGGTAAAATATGAGACAACAACAAGAAGAGGCTCGATTTTTGTCAAGTTACTTATATCATATACATACGAAAACTCGAAATGTTAAGTTACATTAACTATAAAGATCCACCCTGTATGCAATGTAATCAAAATTTCCTACCAACATTAAAATTAAAATATCTCCTAAACTAATGATTTTTTAACATAAATAGGTTAATACCTTTTATACAGAATATGAAGGAGCATGAACTGATGTAATAAAAAGTATATGATTCCGTTAAAAAAATATTAACGACCTTCATATGTTCTTTACACGTCCATCTACAAAAGAACTAGTACCATCAGAATATGCCTCTCTCAAAACCATTCAACTTCATCTGAAACATTTTTTGCTATACCTAACCATAATGATGTATATCCAGATGGCAATACGTAGTGACCCACCCTGTATATACAACAACGAAAATACCTAATTTCTTTAATAAGATCGCACAGTTCCAAGAGGCTCACACTGTGCAAAAGTAACCAAGATGCATTCGACTTGCAGAGAGAACGAATTTGATCCATGGAAGGATGTATTAAACTGAAAAAGCTGGGCACACGTGTACACGTATATACGAAATATATACGCGTATGTACATGTATATACACGCGAGTATATTCACGGCTTCCTTCTTTGGACGAAGTCATGGGCAATTCGATCGTCCATGCTCGCGTTCTTCCTTTCTTCTTTAGCCGATGGAAAGAACCGGCGCGGCACTGTTCCTCTCCGCCATGCCGAGACCCCTAACGGTGGATCGTTATCGCGTAATTAGCGCCGCTGATTTTCGTGTTATGTCATTGACACGCATACGACCGCACGATGATACCCTTCATTTCGGGTTATCGAGTCCCTCCGGTGGGAAGAGGCGACTCGCTGCCGATTCTGAGCAACCACAGGGACGTGATTTGGCCACGGTCACACGTGTTCCTTTGCTTCCCTCTGTCGTTTTTCCTTTCGTCCAGCCCACCGCGATAATGCTATCTTTTCGTTTCTTATTATTCCGTGGAAATTCCTTTCGCTGGGATTTCGATGCCCCGAGATTTCGGAAATTCGAAGCCCTCTGGGAGCATGGGAAATTTTTGATTCGTCACAGCCCCATGGTATTTCTGCGTTGATTATTATTGCGAGGAAATTAATTCTCCTGGGATTCAGAGGTTTCGAGATTTTGCGATGTCTGGGGAATTTTTGTTGCAGTGGAGCTCCACTATGATGGTATTTTTGCGTTTATTATTGCGAGAAATGGGGGTTTATTGGGATTTGGAGACACTGAGATTTCAGGAATTTGAGAGCTTTATTCAATTTTAATTTTAAGATTATTCGTCGTGGGAGATGCGTTTGTACTAATTTAGATCTTTGGTAAAATAATTTGTATTTGTCTGTTTGGTATTTAAAATAAGATGGCTGGGTGCTTTTTATTTACGTGATTTTGTAATTTGACCACGCGTGAAGGGTAATTGGAAGATAAGGAGTATCCGATCTTTGGAGTTCCATATTCCAATTTATCTTTCTGAAAGTTGTAGATATTCGAACTAAGATTTATTTTAACGAAACGGAAGAAAAATCGATAAATTCTTTAACTTCAGTATACTTCTGAATGGTCTATATGAGAGCCTAAAATAATCGATGTATCAAAAATCTTTTTTCCAGGGACGAATAATTTTATGGCAAGTTTCCGCATGGAAACGAATCTCGCAAAGGTGGATTCTACGATACATGTAACTGCAGGAGAACAGTTAGTCTGTAAATTACAGGGGTTATCTAAATGAATGGATCTACTTGAATAACTTTGTACTCATTAAAATATTCCACGACTTAGAACTCCAATAAGTTATGCAAATCACCGTCAAGGAAACGCAACCTTTAACAAACAAACATTACCCAGCTTACGTCCCAAAACTATCCAAAATCCCGGTGTATTTAAAGCACAGATAAAAACAATGCCATAAATTTCCATTTCGCGTACGTCATCTTATTTTCAACTCGACGTGTGATCCATTTAATTATACTAATCTCGAATGTCAATCTTAACTTTGATATCCTATTTTAGTGTAAAATATACCAATGAAGATACGATAATAATCCACCTACCTGTCGATTTTTTCCTTCAGCAAGAACCTCTTCCGCTTCTCACCCAGGAGATCTCGAACACCTTCACTGCTGCTTTCCTCTGCTCGCGTCGAAACCGTTCCGGAAGTCCTTTAATCTTCCACTTTTTCTATCCGCGTGGACACCATAATTCTCGCCATAATTCAGACACCGATCTTCCGTGACACTTTTGGTCGCAGGAAGCGATTCCGCTTTCACGACGTTTGGATGCGCGGTGCGGCAGGAAGAAGGAGAAATCAGACTCTATAATGATACACCTACGACGTGTGACGGCCACGAGGAGTTTCTCTCTTAGCTCGGTGTTCGCGCGCGTCGTCAAAGGCCGACACGTCGATTGTCTGGTTAATGACTCGCGATCAACGCGATCGGTCCGTAGGACGCGGGCTAAATGTCATCCCCGAGCTGGCTTCTCGTCCCAGGCACCATCAGCTCGCTTCCTTCCTGTTCCCGCGGTCGACACTCATCATTCCTCGTCGTCCGATAAACCGGTATTCCCGAATTCTTCAAGGACCTCCGATTTCGACACTTGCCGTCTCCCCGAGTTTCTAATTCGTAACCTGCGGATCTCCGAGGACTCTCAGTTCGGTGTATCTACTCTTCGCAGAGTACCAACGACGGTACTGCTTTCATCCTCTCGAAGATCATCTATCTGTTCCTTCGAACCACCGGAATCCAATCCTCGCGGAGTGTCAACGCGTCACTCCTGCAGTCTCTGCTCTGGCACTGTATCTCGTTCACTCCAAAATGTTCCCGCCAACGATACCGATCGACCGACCGAACGAAGCGACTGGACTCGTTGGTCGATCGAATGGAAAAATCGTGCAATAGCCGAATACTCCTCGCGGAAGAAGAATCGATCGCGTCTCCGTGGAGCGAAAGCTCGGATCCGCACTCGTGCCGGTCGCCGGCGCTCCAGTGGTACCGCTCTCCGGTGTCTTCCTGGACCTCCTCCAGGCGCTGGGCACCTCGTGCGCGCGTGCAGCTACTCCTGGTAGCCGTCGGAGTGGCAGGTCCGCGCGACGAGGGCAAACGCGCGCTGGACGACTGCGGTTGGCCGGCGAGCGTGCGGCGAGAAGGACGGCCGAAAGGAGGGAGCAGGAGGGACGCAGAGCGTCGGAAAGAAGCGAGACGAAGGCGGGACGGAGAAGGAAGCACCCGAGGCGCAGACGGGGTGGGAGGGTACTCGGGAAGGACGAAGAGGGGAATAGGTGGAACTTTTGGAGAGAAGAGGTCGGGACGAGGACCAGGTTGGAGGAAGAACGAGGTTCATCCGGCGAGGCTGCAGAAGCGACAAGGACGAGAGGTGGAAGATGGAAGAGGCGGATGACCAGGACGAAATGACGTGGACCACGCGGAGGACACGACGTGTCTGAAGTGGGCTCGGCCCGCGAACGGGGGTTACGGGCTTTGCTTTCGATTTGGTCCCCCGTACCCTGTGCCACGAGCGGTGCACGCTTCGGTCGTGGTGCCCGTTGGTGCAGAAACGACTACGTATGGGTGCAGCGGGTGCTGGTGCGAGGCAGCCGGATGATGCGGTTCGGTGAGAACGAAGCGAGATGGAGGATGATGGGAAGGGGTTTATAGAGGGGAGAAGGTGACGGTAGCGTGTCGTCGCGTGCTGAACGGCGCGGGCTGCCCCTGTGGCCCGTGGCCCACCTTGCCCAGGGCCGTGGCCCAGGCGGCCACGGAAAGTCCCTTGGTCTCTGTTCCGGCCCGTTTCTTTCTTTCTTTCTTCCTTTCGCCGCTTTCTTCCGCCGTTTTCTTCCTCTCTCGCCGACACCCACTCCCCGGTTTCGCGAGCGTTACCGTTTCCACGCGAACCATTCAGTCGATCGCTCTACGGCAGAGGGAAGATCGAACGGAGACGGAGATACGGGGGTGGGCGGGCTGAGTGGCTCTTCTCTACAGTTGCCTTTCCTCCTCCACGAGTCCACTGCCGATCCTCCACTCCTACTTCTCGCTGCGATCGAGTCGAGCCTGGCGTTTGGGTGGCTCGACGAGGCGATTCCACGAGGCGGCGGAGCAGCGGCAACCCGGGTCAGGGTTGACTTCGCGCCACGCGGATTCATGCAGCGAGGGGATGATCGTCCGATGGATGGCTGTTCCACGCTTCTAGTTTTATCTTAGGTTCCGTTCTATCGAGTTTGTGCACGGGCAAGTTTCGTTGTATCGGTTCTGGTGCGTCGCAAACGTTTTGGTTAAACCTCTCATAGTGTTTTGGGCGAGATGTCTTCGTGGGTGAAGTTCTCCGTGTATTCCGTCAGCTCCGTGGTTTATTTCTTGAGAATAGAGATTGTTAGTTCCTGTAAAAAGAACGTTAATATTAATCTTCTGAAATTATTCAATAAGAGATGGGATTAAGTATTATTATTTCTGTTTCCTTTTTCTATTTGAGGAGTTTCAATCACAGTCAGCTACTAGGTTATTAGCGAGTGAGCTATAGAGTGTCACATCGTTATCGACTTTTCGTCAATAATATCATTCCATATCATCAATTTATAAATGGTTCCTCGAGGGAGTTCAATATCGTACTATTCTGGTCAGCTTTCGTTAATAATATTCGAAGGTTCATCGTAATCGGGGAAACTCGACATCCTAAGTTCACCAAAGTTCACCCGGAGTACCCGCACGTGATCGTACATGGAATAAAATTTGCCTTTGGGAGCCGGTGAAATTCACGGCGATCTGGCGGATCGATTAATTTCTTTTGTTTCTCGGGAGGATAATTACTCTCGTGCCTTCGTTCGCGAGTCGTTGTTACCGAGTTTTCTACGGTACTTTACGTACATCCACCGGCACGTTTCCGTGCGTGACAATCGCGTCTCCTCTGGCAAGCGGCGTATTGCGGCATGTCGAAAGTTTTTTAACGCCTGAAAACTTTTCTTCACGCTCACGCGACTGCGATCCACGTCTTCTAGTCGTGTTCAATGAAATCGTAACGCAGGCATGTTACATTAACGATATCTATTCCGATCGAAATCGATTCCACGTTTCCTGGTGTTCTACTTTTTCTTTTCCTATTTTTCAAAAATTTTATTTTCCTTTTTTCAAAGAGCAACGAGAAGTTTTACGATTTTCCACGAAGGGTAAAAAGATTACCTTAAGGAAGAAAGCCAAGGGGAAGATGCCGAGGGATAAAAGTAGTAAAGAATTTTATGATTTAATATTTTTAATTTGAGACATTTTTGTGGGGAGTTCAAGTTGTTTATGCGACGCGTTATCATTGAAAAACGGGTATATCTCACTTTTAATTTTCTCTATTTCTTACGATTTATAGGTTCATTTCCTCGCCCTTATTTTAAGGGTTACGATCGATTATCTTCGCGCAACGCTCATAAAATCTGATGGCGTTACAAAAAGTTAGATTAATGTTGGAACGCGGTCGCAAAGCGCAAAATCGACGAGGTTCGATTGCGGCTATATAACGGCACTAAAATTCGATAGTACTGTATGACAAAATATAAAGAACGTGAAATCTAATCGTATTGCAAAAATCGTCTCGCCTACTTCTAAGTTAAGTTAAATACCAGATACAGAAAATACTGAAAATAAGATACGGAAAAGAATTATAACAGTGGTATAAAATTCGATTGCGAAACCAAGATCCCTATAGTTCCATTTACATTAAAAATTCGATTGTTCTCGCATGATAATTACGAACGTGATAATTATTTTATAATTCTTCGAAATCAATGTTGATAAAATATATCTATGGATGACAACTCCAACGAAAACCATTCTTTTCGAACCTCGATTATCTCAAAAATTGGATCACCATTATGTAAAACTCGTAATATTCAATAATTTTCCAAAATTTCTCGAGTTTACTCTCAAATTAAACTATATTTTAATTATTCTATAATCCTCTCAAATCAATACAGTTAAAACACAACATCAAAAAGCGACTGAATAAAGAAATCATTTTCTTCAAACCTCGATTATCTCAAAAATTAGATCACCATCGCGCAAAATCGAATGATATCCAATCATTCCCCAAAATTCCTCCAATTTATTCTCAAATTAAATCGAATTACGATTATTCCACAATCCTCTCAGATCGACAACCCTGTCAGAACCGAAGCGTACAAAGCAACTTCAACGAGGATTATCCTCCCGAAGCCTGGATCATCCGAAAAGTTCGATCGTCCTTACGCAACGTCTGCGGACTTGGATCGCGTTGCAAAAGGTAGTTTCGCCTGGTGCGAATCGCGTGGCTGAGAAGTTAAAGACAAAGACGAACCGACGGAAAGTAGAAATTGGAATGGTTGTGTAATACGCTGGTTCCCTGTTTGAGGAAGATGTAATAACCGGCGGAGTCGTGGCACGCGAGTGCCCCGGAACGCTTCGCGAAGAAGATCCTCCGGTGCGTTCCAGGAACATCGAAGAAGCTCGATCGTCCCATCGGAGTCCTTGGTCCAACTTGGTTTCTTGCGCAACGGACAGTACCTTCTGCTCGACAATTATATAGGCCCTTGGAACCAGACGTCGAATTAAAGCGATGGGTTAAACGGTCCACGCGCGTCCGCGAATCGTCGGTTCGTGCCCGATCACGAAGGCCTTTCGATCCGAAAAGGAGGACTCCATCGATAATTTGCCATGAACGCGCGCGTAAACGTTTCACTGCCATTTTTTGCCCCATGGTCCGCCTTTTCTTCTAAATTCCTTGACGAATTTGACGGTTTCTTCGTCATTCGAGAATTAGCTTTCGAAGATTCTTCGCTATTTCAGTACTAATCCCTCGCAGTGCAGATTTATTATGAGAAACAGTGCATTACAAGATTATTTAATTTTAGGTAGGCACTGCATACTTATTCTATTCGCGATAAATTTGTATAAATTTTTATAACCCTTAGAAATTTTGCGCGTGTTAAAATGAGTTGGAGGTTATGGGAGGTGATTGAGATCAGGGGGTGAAGAAAATGGAGATTAGTGGATGTATTGGGACTTCGTTTCACTTTAGATCGGAGAGAATTATTTGAGAATTATACTGCTACAGGTGTTCTTGGTAACGTGATAGGGGTTTGAGGTTATGTTAAGTTCTTGGAGGGTACTCTCGCGTTTGTGTACGCACGACCTGCTTTCCTCGAGTTGAAGTACTATTTTGGAATAGTATAACGAATATAATTATTCGAATAGAATTATTTAGCGTTGTTTAGTATAATTTAATATTCTTGGAGACGGTGAAATTCTTTTGGGAATAGTTAACGTCCAACAAAAATGGGAAACAATTGTCTATATTCTCAGACAATAGACAAAGCGACAGATTTATCTTTTCAGACGCCGAGCTGTTAGATTCCAATCAATGGATCGTATTTGACTTTAATCCTTAGCACTAGAGAGGCGACTCCCAGTTGCTATTTAATCAGATTCTAAAGATCTATGTTAATTAATACATCAAATTTAAAATTACCCAACGATGCGTGGAATGTCGAAGTAAAATAATCCTACGTCTTAATTTGCATACGATTTCCTATTTACCGTGTTAAAAATATCGCCGACTTTATGACAGAAAGTCTTCGAATTATTATTTTTCTGTCATGAAAAACTCGTCGAGTGCAAAGGGTTACTCAACCTAACATTAACCAACTTGACAAACCCTGGCAAATTTCACCTATATAAAATCACCTAAATAATCACCTAAGTAAAATCCAAGCTTCACGAATTTCTGCCTACTCGTTCTTGAGCAATCCTGGCGGTCTCCTAGTTCCGACAAAGAAGTCAGGCTGTAGCTCATGCAGACGAGATGTCGTGGCTCTAAGAGGACGTAATCTTGGTCGAATCGCGGGGCAGAAATGGACGCAGGAGCAGATCCGCGTGAGGATTGGAAAAATCCTGGCGTCGGGATAATTTAAAAGCCGGCAGATTTGTTTATTAAACCGGTACCGCGTGCCGAGCAAGACGTCAAAGTCAGAATTGCTGGACGTGAAATGGCGCGGCGCGGAGTGCCGCGGGGCACGATCCGAAGAGCCAGCAGGACACCGCAAAGAAATTTACAACCGGTGGTAATTAAACCTGTTCGATGCGTTCGATAAAGGAAGGCGACATCGTGTGCCTCCTATCCGGCACACGTGTATAATAAGTCACCCTGGCTGAAAACGGCCGCGGCCAGGCCTGGTCCTCCTCGGCCAGTGTGTCGCTACCGTTTCACGATAACTCGAAAGAGGATGGCCAGTCGGTTGCCTCGAAGGGACGATTTAGAAGATAAAAATCGAGGCTTCGGTGGCTTCTATGTCCACGGGCCTCTCTATCCGACCGGTTATCGCGATAACTTTCCTTCTCTCTGCCTCGTGTGATACGAATCGATCTCGAGCCGAGCTTTTACGAAAGCGTGCCGACCTCTAAATTATTCTACGCGAACAGGTGCGAAGGCAGAAAGACGAGGAGCCGGTGACATTTTTACCTGTGTGATAATATAAATTGCTGTTAAGAGGAACGGGGGCTAGAGGCCTCGGTGGTTCTGGCGTAATTTCTTTTCGTGGTATTCGGTATCGAGCAGGGTTCTCTCGGGAAAGGCTGTTTAGATAAGGTACATCGTGGTTCGGAATGTAATTTGATCGTAAAATTACAGGTGATGGGATATTTCTACGATGCTTGCTTTGTTTCTGTTTGTTGCTATTAGGTTGGTATTTCGAGAGCTTGAAGGGAAACGAGGCTTTCGCTCGTCCATCTTGCATGTAATATTTATAGTTAGTTAAGAGAGGGTATTTTAATTTTTCGACGAGAGTACCCTTTGGAAATTTTCAGAGTAAATCTAATATCAAAATTATGTACTTCGAAACAAAATACCCTCTCTTAACTAACTATAAATATTACGTCCATTTTTCTAAACACGAATTTTACCCTACAATACATTTGTTTCGAAGTACATCATTTCCAAAGGGTACTCTCGTCGAAAAATTAAAATACCCTCGCTTAACTAACTATAAATGTTATATCTACTTTTCTAAACACGAATTTTACCTTATGATACATTTAATTTTTCGAAGAGAGTACCCTTTGGAAATTTCCAGAGTAAATTTAATGTAAAAATTATGTACTTCGAAACGAATGTATTGCAAGGTAAAATTCGGGTTTAGAAAATAGCAGACGAAAAGGATCTCCTAATCTGTCAGATCGGCTATTGTGATTATGCGAAGCATCGACGAGTCGCGTATTTAATTGTGATACAATGTTGGACGGTTTTTAAATAAGCAATTTAAATTTATAATCTGTTGACTCCGAGATACGGTGATAAACGTTGCTTTTAATCATCAATTTGTCATTAATTTATACACTTTGATAGGCTGAAAGGAGGAAACACGGAGAATGAAGGGGAATGTGGATGATCGAGTTGATAGCCCGATCGCTGAATAGCCTTCTTATGGAAATTGGGAATAACGTAAATTTGTGATTGTAATGAAACGACGATATAAATTTTCAAAGTATAATTTCGAAAGTGTGCCTCGAATTTATCATCGTTCCTTAAGGGATTAAAAAGGGGATTAAACATCGGTTGGCCACGAATATAAGGGAGACATGGCCAGAATGAGGCTCGCATAAAAATTTATCGCTCTTATTTTTATCCTAATATTAATAAAATTCTTCTCTTTTGGTAATTACAAACATTTTGTTATAATTATACCTCTCCTATTCAACTCGCTTATTGTCGAAATAATCCTCCTACCCTGCTTACTCAAAATTACACAGATTAAACATAAGAAATTCCTCCTTTATCCCACCTTATCCATTTTTCCATCAAAATAATTTCACAATTAAGCAAGAATGAATAAAAAAGAAGTCCCACTGCAAATCAGACCAAATTTTTCTCTATTTATCTACTCGTCCTTCGACATCAACTTTGCAAACACATCTCACCCTGTCTAAGAAGATCAAACTCGACCAAGGCTGTCAACATTCGTTATTCTCGCGCGACGTATGGTCTCGTTTAATGGATGACTGACTCGATGACAAACAGTGGAGCAAACTGAGCAGCCTAGGTGTCTATAACGACCCCCCATAGAGTGATTGCGAGCTCTGAACTTTCGAGTGGTGGCACGACCGCAAAAGTCTCCTCTCACCCTCATTCTTCTCCCCCATTTCGTCCGTTTGCCGACGCAGGTTGCGCTCGTTCACGGATCATCGCCGGTTAACCGGTGTTTCGAACGCGTTGCGGTTTCTACAAATGGTACGCTGTTTGAGGAACCACTCCGAACACGATGTTGAAATTTAGGGTTCGGATGTTTAGCATCTGGCACCGAAGTGGGGATTAAGTAGTTTTTACTCGTGAAGAAGTTTGTTGGAACACTAACGAGGGATCAGTTGCGAACGTTCCGTGGTGTTTTCTCATCGTGGAATTTTGTCGAGGTGCAGGAAAGTTCGAGGATTCTTGGTATCGGGTTAGTTTGCTGCTTCTGGAGAAATTCCGGAATCCTGGTGATTTAATTTAATTAGTCGCTTCGCTCGTGTTCGAATTTTATGCAGAATGTTAATGTACGAGATTGCCAGGTACAAAATACAAATATATTATATAAAAATATAAAGAATTTAAGTAACGGAGTCTGACAATCGGTCGAGAGTCACTAGGGCCTCATCTTCAAATGCCCATATTTTCTCCATATAAAATTCTTCCTTATCTATATTCCAAAAATATTTTCAATTCCAAAAGAGTAGCAGAATTATGCTCACAATTCTCGCACCCATGAAATCCAAACTTTTTAAACTAATTTCATTCCAAACTTCCAATAATTTATTTTTCCACATAGAATTGTGCCCTATAGACGATACCACCGATAAAAGAACACTCCATATATTTCCCATCACCATCGTATCATTCGATTCTTCCACTTCTCACCCCTGACACGCATCAGACTCTGTTTACAAAATTACCCATATTTACCAACGATAATCGTGGATCGTAGTCCGACAATAGTACTCGAAATTCGTGCTACGTTTCCCACGTATGTAAGCACGCTGTCGTCGAAACTAGGGTAAAAATTGCGTGGCGTCTCCTTATCAGATCGTGCGCAACGTGAGCCAGAGGGGTAGGCTTGTAATAGCAACGGAACAACCCCTAACGAGGAGAGGATCAGATGGTTCGAACAGATTAATCTATAGCCGGGGTACACCAGCAAGATTACGACAGAATGCCTGTGTCCTGCCCTTTGTAACCGTGTCTCATCGCGGAAATAAGGACAGGTGAACAATTCTGAACGATCATCCTCGCAGGCACGCCTCTGGAATTTGCGCTGGTCTCTGCGCTATCCTCGCCTGCTGCCATTATTCTGGACAAATAGCTGTAGTTTCGAACCATGTCCGACAGTTTCTCAGTAGTTTCTAGTATTTCTTTTTATCTGCGGCGAATAATCGACGAAGGATGCCTTCTCGGTGCCAGAATCTTCATTCCTTATCTTCCACAAAAGAATACGTTCTTCCTCTAGTAGTCGGTGAGGTTTTTGGAGACTTCAATTTTATATCCTTTCTGCAGATTAAGCATGATTTCGTAGAATTAGTAATAATTACATTTACTCTTTGACTTCTTCAAAAGAATATATTTTTCATATCGACGAGAAGAGAAATTTATTTGTCTAAATGAGTTAATAAACAAATAATTATCCGAAATATTCGAAAAAATAAAAACTCGCGAGACCACGCGTTATCTACGTTACAAATCTTCGACTCCCAATAAGATTCCAATGCCTCTCCTGGAAGAACGAACAAATCCTGAATCGACATGCGCTCAACGAGTCTCCATTCTTTCCAGAGAATTGCCCGCGAATTCGCAAAGAGGAAGAAAGCTGAATTTGCTTAAAGAAAAGGAAAAACGGGACGAGAAAAGAGGAAGAAGAAAAAGAGAAACGTGTAACAAAAGAGAAGGGGTGGGCAATTTGCAAGCGATTTGTTCTATTCGGGGAGGCGTGAAAAAGTATGCTGGCCGGGGAGGATGCACGGAAAAAAAGGAGCGACAGCGGAACGAGAAGAGGATTCGACGTGCAAATAAAACCGGTTGGAACTATTAACTACCCAAGAAAAGGGAGCTGAAGAGAAGCAACAAGAAAGGGGAAAGAAAAATAACGCTATCTAGCTAAACAGGGCGAAAAGAGGATAGAAGAGCGATAGTCTTGCGAGAAAGACTCCTATTTCCTCGATGCAATTTCATCGACGGCAATTTCGTCGGAAGCATGCAGCTGCTGCTGCTTCGGGTAACCACCCGACGATATTAGGACCCGGGTTTCCTATTATTTTTTAGGCTTAGGAGTCGCCTTTTTTTCCCTTGGCCGACAGGACCTCGCGGGACTGGCCCTGATCAAACGTTAATTTCGCAAACGAACTGACCGTTTCCAGGGTGGCTAAGATGGAGCAAGAACGACGAAGAGATCGAGGAGGACAGAACTGTGGCGTGCATCGTCGCGATCGGAGACGAAGGGAAAAGAGGGAAAAAAGGAGAGGCTGGTCGCGCAAGGTGTTCGCACAATTTTGATGAAACAATCAGGGCGGCGCCGATTACCATACGTAAGTCGGTAAGAGATTCCGAAACGAGTCGGCTACAACTTAATCTCTCCGGAGCTTTATCATCGTGCAGCTTGCTTTTATTGAGATCGTCCCGGAAACGCCCATCTCCGCTCCAAGATTTTCGCGAACGAGAGTCAGTGACGCGACGAATCGGTTTAGTAGACGAAGAAAGAGCGTTGCGAGCAGGCAGAAGCGACAAAATCAAGTGGTCAAGAGTGGAATAGGATATTCGACACCTGTTTGGCGAGTGACGTCGATGTCGATGATAAAGAATGCTGCCTTGTTAGAAGAACATAGTTGACATCGTCGTATCCGAATTTTCTATTATACGAATTTCACAGCGATGTTTGCATGCTTTAGCACTTTTCTGTGTCTGCTCATTGAAGTCCTAATCATAACGACTCATCGCGTGAAGCTGATAAAATAGGTATGACTATTGGGGAAAGATTTAGTATTTCTTAATTAGACTCTTTTAAATCATAGGAAGCAAAATAATCTCCAAGGTGTAACGTGATTCCACCGGCATTTGCCTGATAGTTTTGCGCGTGGTACCAACGTGGTGCCACCGGACGCCACAGTGTTTAAATAATTTTTTAGTTAAATAAACGAAATTTCATGGAAATAAATGTGATTGCTCTATCAAGATTTCATTATCCAAACGACTTTGTTTCTCTATTAATTCGGATTGGTGTATTATTTGGCAGAGCTACCAAGCTAAACCTGAAATTTTACAGCTGATGTTGGGTCTTATAATTGATATCGACATTTCATTGAATATAATAGATATAAATCACAATCGTGACGTCTGAATCTACACACTTACCGTTGCAGATATTTACATAATCCTGACGGATCCTCTACCGGATGTGCGATGAACGAGCTCGCAAATGTTGTCCCTTTCTTCGCGCAGAAGGCCATGCTGCAAAGACATATGTTATAAGGGCCAATGAATTACAAAATCTATATAACTTAACGTCGAAATACCGATAGACTATGAAATTAAGCTAAAGTGCCATCTTTCATCGAGACAGATCTCATAATCATTACAATCGTAACACCTAAGATATTGTACTTTTATCGTATCGCTATATTCTACTGTCATTCGACAGTTGACGAGGAATACCATACCAAAGAATGAGAATATCGCTCGAATAAAACGACGATTCCTCTGACGAAGTTGCCTGTGAATCTTCCTTTAAACCTACCTGCAAACTTTCCGAATGTCCAGGAGAATTCGTATTACTATCATTAAATATTCATCAAACGAAGCCTTGGAGGCAGTGATACCCGAGTCGTACTCCTCGATACAATTTTCCCAGCTTAAACGCCCTATCGACAGCCGCAAATCCGGCTGAAACTGCGCGAGGGATTAGCCCTCGAGCGGATGGATACGGAAAGGAGGATTAAATCGTTACTTCAGGCTCATGCTTTTCCGCTTGCTTACCCCGTCAGCCAGTCGAGCTTAGTATCCCACGTCGATGGCCCGAAGGTGGCGTTGATTCCCAGAGTAGAGCGTAGGATCGATGACCAGGAGCTTCCATCCTTCTCGTTCCCTCGTCGCTCACCCTATTCCTGCCTCGGCCACGAGAATGATAATATCGCGTAGTCCAACTGGCCGATGACACCCTCGCTGATACAACGGACGACTCCCATTGGTCGGCAGAACGGGTGGTTGATATTAGAGGGTTTCAGCGATTGGCGGCTCTTTGGAACGCCCAGGAAGGATGCGCAGCTGCCAGGACATGCGTAATCCGACGGCTGATCGACGTTCAGACGTGGAGGCCACGGCACGACGAACGACCATTTCCGTGTTGCCTCCATCGTGTCGTCTATGACGAGATAGGTATGGGTGAACGGTTGGGGGTGTTCGACGCCCATGATCACCCTTTTCCGCCCTTCTCGCCAAGCGAAGGCGGAGGATAGGGGTGCCTAGATGGAGAACAGATAGAGGTCATCGTGGTTGTCTTGGATTTTTCCGTTTACAGACTTTCAGGTAATTTAGGAGTGAGAATGACAGGTAACGTGGACCTTGCTCTTAGACAAGTCTTTGGAATTTGATATCGCAGACGTGGGTGTTAGGCGTGGCTAAGTAAAGAACAGACAGGGGTAACCACTGGTGTCTTGGATCCTTGGGTAACTTCGATTCAGGAGTACGAATGAAAATTAACGTGGATCTTGATATGGACTTTGAGGTTAGACGTGGCTAGATGGAGAACAGATAGAGGTAATCGTGGATATCCTTGGCTTTTTCGTTTCTAGATTTTTGGGTACCTTCGATTCTGGGGTACGAATGAAAGTTAACGTAGATCTTGATTTTGTAAGTTGGATACTGGTCGTAGGCGTGGAAGCTAGGCGTGGCTAGGTGGAGAACAGACAGAGGTAACGTCTTGGATCTTTGGATAGTTTCGATTTAGGAGTGCGACTGAAGAGTATGCGAAGCTTGGTTTTAGAGAAGTCTTTGGAATTGGATATTGTGGTAGGCGTTAACGATGGAATTCAAGATGGAGATAATTATAGGTATCTTGGGCTTTGCAATTTCTTGACTTATTATGGATAATCTTGATCTGAGGGCAAGCGCGAGGGATCTATAAATCTTGTTCTTAAGGGGTTCTACTAAATTTAATATTCCGGGGGGATTGATGATAGAAGTCATTAAGAAATTGCGGGGAGGAGGTCGGGGGTATCGAAAGCACGAGTATCAGTGATCTCCGAAGCTTTTAATTTCTGGCAGATTTCTGGAGACTTTATTCCGAAATATCGAGCATGTTTGGTACGTGGATAATTGTTATGGTACTTCTGTCGCTTTTCGCCAGAAATTATAACGCGAAACGCGATGTTCGCATTTTATCTCGGCAAGTGCAGAAATGAAAGAGTATCGTGCCTGAGAGAAGGATCTGATAACCGGCTAGATTTTGCATGTAGATCCTCCGATCTTCGACGACTTTTAAAAATGACCGAGATAATCTATCCGCCGTTACAAGATCTTAATTACATCTGATTATGGATACCATTGTATTTAGAGGTTGCAAAAAATAATAATACATTTCTCACATCGTAGACAGTATAAATCCCACACGATCACTGTTTCCACGAACGCTTTATCTCTGTCATTTTGCTTCTCTTTAGGAATATACGTATCTCGTTCATGGTCGCCATTTGTTCCCGTTTCCGGTGGTCATTAATAAAAAACATCGTGCTTCGAATTAAAATCGATGTCAATCCCAAGTGCTCGGCGCGAATGCTCCGCTCCTACGAAATTGGAAAACGACGCGAGAAAATGGAGATATTCGTCGAAATAAAGATCGCGAATGGCTTTTTATTTTCAGATTTTCGGCCATTCTTTACGCGAAATTTATTCGTTGTCAAAAATAATTTCGCCCCGTAACTCACGCTGGTAGGTGAACATGTGATTATAAGTGGCCTGGATATTGGGAAAATCACGACGTCGAGCCTGGGAATCGAAAGAATCGATGGATCGCGGGTCTTTTCTGGCTTACACGCGGGCCAAGACAAATGTCAGCGTGACATGCCAACCGACTATAAACCTCCCCGCGAATTAACGCTCATTATCGTGTAGCTTAATTGAGGCGAGCATCGAGATTGAAACACGACGTCGAGGTTTGCGCAATGGCATACCGTTGGTGCCCGACACCCGTGGTATTTCACGACGATTGTGTTCAATTCTGACGCTTTTAAAAATGCTAACGAGGGGAAAGTGTAACAAATGCAAATTTTCCTGTCCGATTATTCTATGACGAACGTTGAATTATCGGGAGTTTCCTGAAAAAATCCCACCCGAGAGATTTGTTCGTCGATATTCCTGACATTTATAACCCTAATAATTTATCGAGCCATTACGTAACAATATTCGTTTGCGCTTTGCTTCGACAAACCCGAGTGATTGCCTGTGATTATTCTTTAACCAACGATTTGGCAATTATTTTGAAAATTATTTCGCGTTTATTAAAAACGGTACTAGGAAAATGTATTACACATAGAGGACGCAAGGAATATTTGCGATATAATAATTTGCAGTGCAAAAATAATAATTTACTCAGCATCCAATTTCGTAATAATTCTCGTTTGTACTTTGCTTCGACAAATGCAAGTTCTTGTTTAGGATTATTTTTCAGTTAGTGACCAATTATTTCTATTTCTTAGAAATAGTATTAATTTCTCTTAATACTATTACTACTGTACTAGCTATATATCTGTTACAACTGTAAAACCCAAGATACTATTAATAGTATTAATAGTATTAATTAATAATTATAAGTAGTATTATAATTTCTCAGAAATATTCGTATTAATTGTATGAAAAAATATAATAGATATAATTTATGTCTATTCATAGTGTTAGAAGTAATAAATTATCACGTATTTAATTACGTGATAATTATTACATATCTCATTTATTTATCACTTTCTAAAAAATAAAACTAAGGAAAATTAATATCATCTGTAGAAATTTATAGTGCTTATGGATTCATTTTCACCCCTGACTTTTACGTGTCACGATAATTTCGTACAGAATTGATAATTCGTTTTGCAAACTGAAGTATCGGAAAAGTGATTTCTCGTTGTGCTTTTACAACGTAAATCGCACTAAATTGTAATTTCGCGGGGGGTTTATAGTTTCTTTTGTCGTAATTAAAAATGCATTAACACATGGTTAACGTATTTTGCTGGTTAACGTTAAGATTTATCGACATGTTCTCTGCGTAATGCGTATTCATTTTTCAGGCGCATTACGTTTAGCGCATACTGTAATTTCTCTTCAACAGTAACACAGCCTGATAATTGTTATTTATGAAGAAAATGGAGGAATTTTCGTTCGCCTCTTACGGTTGATATTCATAGAAGAAAAATGTTAATGGCCATGTGGAAATTGCTAAACGCACTGTGTTTAATAAAAGTGAAATTTTAAATTTACCTATCCTCGAATGCGTGCTTACGATAAGCACGTATTCGATTATACGCGTGTGATTATACAAATAGCTTATTTCCTTTGAATTATTGTGTTCTGCAACAAGAAATGCTACCTGCATAGAAAATGCTACTCACGGATTAACGAGCTTTCTTCGATTTCTGAATTCCTGGAAATATTCACTTTCGTTCTACCTTTGATTAACCTCGTGCGATAATATCGTGGTATTTTAAATATTTTTTTATTCTACCTTCTCCAGAAAAGTTATTTAATAAGTCACCATTTTAATAAATTTCAAAGTTACATCATTCCTAGGAAGTATTTGTTTTAACTGGAAATTCTGAAACGTTTCATAACGAACTAAAAATACCAAAAGGAATATTTCTTCGAAAATTGTTTACTGCGAAAAAGAATATTACCTTCAAGCTATAATTTCCATAAATCGAAATGATTTATTATTGCACATCTTATCCTAACGAAAACTGTGATATTACAAATAAAATAAAATAGTATTTCCTTAAAAAAATCTGATTCAAAATATAGTACCTTTTCTTCATTGGTATCTATTTGTAATGGAAGTAATGCAGAAGAAGTACCTAATTCGTACCACTTTGAACAATCTTTAAAACAAATTGAGAGCATTCTAATTTATAACACCATTACTTTTCTTGTTATATATATGGAACTAAGAATTTTAAAAATATTCTTAAAGAATTCTTAAAAAATCTTGAAAAATTCGATTTTTAAAGAATTGCGTGAGGATACTCTTCATCCTCGCTGCATTGCGGCTACAGCAAGTGTCTAATAGGTACGTAATAGGCACATGAAGGCAGCAGGAAGGGTGGTTCAGTTTCCAAGAGTTTACGTTCGAGGAAATCCTGGCTCGAGGCACGATGGCGCAAACCGTGAATTTCGATAATCACCAGCAATTGCTTTATTATCCCAGGCAGGTGGCAATAATGGGCGGTGCTCGGACTCCCGATGCCTTGCAACTTCGTTATACAAACATTCGGAATAATTTTTTAACCAGCCCTTCCCTTCCTCGCCGCAAATTGTCGGGATGAAGTTCGCAACCCCATGGCCAGCTGCGTTATTGCGAAGGACAGAACAGATTCGCGGGATGATCGACCTAATGGCTCAATTTTTTTCCCGGGCACCCTAGCAACCGTGCGAAATCACGTGTATAATTTTCTTCTTAACGCGTTTATTTTCTCATTTAAGTCTTGAACTTGTTTTCTTCTCCCAAGATTTATACACGCTTTCTATTGCATTATATAACCAAATACGATCGGGTGAAATAAAGAAGGGTTTGAAATAAATGGCGAATAAATGGACCCCGCTTGTCTCGAGATTCACTCGGAATTTCCACGTTCCGCGTGTCTTACACGCCAATTAAATTTCTAATTCCTGAACGTAAGTTTAACCACTAATCAATCACTCAGCGCTTCCCTGTCATTTTCAAGATTCATATAACGTCTCGAATATATCAAATTTAGAATGTTTGTAAGTACGTATACCTGCAGTATCTCGTAAAGATACACACAGATGGCGTGAATAATTATTTTAGCAAAATAATCTTTACCTTTTTAGTTCAAATAGGTTCATTGATTCATAGCCAAAAATATATTTTCAAGTAGGCGTAAAAGTACCTAATACTATGGACAATAAGAGTGGAGTATAAGAAACCAAGGACCTAAATGATAAGAGTTATGAAACTTATATGAAAATTGATGAAGAAATTTCAATATAAAATCGAAATTTAGGTTCTTCGTCATTGTCATTGGGGATAAAAGTTCCTCGCAACTATTTGAATCATTTTCTACTCTGCAAGAGTAAATTTGCATACGACAAAACAGAAGAAAAATACTAAGGAAAAATGGTAAAATTGACGAACAACCGAAGAATAAGTAACGCAAATGAATAAAACATAATAATTTTGTATAATTACTATTTACCTGTATGTATAACTGAACACGACATATTTAAACAAGCACCAAATTTG